ACCCTGCTCACAGAGTGACCTGCTCATGGCGTTTCTCTCCGTGTGGTCTGTCCCAGCTGACACTAGTCTGCCTTCTGAACCAGGCCGCCCGCTTGTGTAAGACGCAGGGCTCCCCGTGAACCGGGTCGGAATCTGCACGCTGCAGCCCCCCTTCCCAGCCCTAGTTAGGGTCCTCACTGCTGCCCAGGGCAGGGCTCCTGGGCCGTCTTATCACACAGGCTCATGTCTCCATCTGTCGTCGCTATGGAAACGCTAGAAGCTCCCTTTCAAAAGCTGAGCCACAATGAGGCACTTCAAGTGCTGGTAGGATTAGACTTTGGAAGATGTTTCATTTTCTCCCCCACTCCTTCCTCTGTGTCTTTGTAGAGAGGGAACAAGAGGACTTGTGAATATTAACCGTGACTCGCTTTAATCTCCCTGTGACACTCAGAACTGCCAGGGCTCCACCCGCCGTCTAAGGTCTTGGCCTCTCACAGTACTAACGAGGTCATCCATATTCACGGCCCCAGGGTGGGCACGGTGAGGTTCACTGCAGCCAGGCTTGAGGCTGGTCCTCTTTGCTTGGTGATACTTGTTCACGGAACGACTCGAATAGCTGAAGCCAGAGCTCGAGACAGCAGGGCTAAGCCACTCATTGGAAGGAGGGATGGATTAGAAGCCTTGGTGTGGAGATTGACCAGAGGTGGACCCCACACACTTCCCCTCCTTTGAGAAGGATGACAAACACACCTGGGATTGAGCGCAGGTTGGATTCTGTTGTTGATGGCATTTTTATTACATCATTTGGTTTTTTGTTGTTGAGAATTTTATGCAGCAGAACGGGCTTCAGCTAATTCAATGTCCGTGTCTGGAACATTGACATTAATGACATTCTTCAAGTTCTGCACCATTTTTGCCATCCTTCTGTGAACTGCCCTTTTCCCTAAAACCATACATTCACTGCCTCTTCTGTGTTAACTAACGTATATTCCTGGCCGCCTCCATGTCCGGACTTTTCAGGTTGCCTTTATTGGTTTGATCCTGTGTGAAAGATGACATAGAATGGAACATATGGGCTGCTCATTAAAGGTTGACAGTTCGAATCTGTTAGCTGCTCTGTGGGTCAAAGATGGATCGTGTCCTACAAAGGTCCACAGCCTCAGAACCCAGTGCAGAGTAGCTCTCAGTCGTAACTGGCTGGACAGCATTGGGCTAAAGACACATAAAGCTCAAGACAAACATTCTTAGGAGGTAGTTATTGTTGGGCTTTAAAACTTGAGGGCAATTTTTGACGTAAGGCTTAAAGATTATCTCCGCAATAGTTTCAGGGGTTTCTCTGGTTTCCAGAAAGTCTGGATTCCATAAGAATTTGAATTCTGTTCTGGTTTCCCCTGTCAATCAGGAGCCCTCTGTAGAACCTTTGATCTGCACACTGGCCGTCGGTGGTCAGGATCCAGCCAGCTCTTCTTGTGTCGGGAGGACACTTATTGGTGGCATCCCCTCCCTGTGCTCGCCTCTCCTCTTCCTGTTGCCGGGAGTGGGAACTTGGATACCTGGCTGCACGCTTTGAAGAGCCCAGGTGTCACGCAGTGAACTTGGAGAGGAAGTGCTGGGCAGGGTAGTGGGCCAGATAATCATTTCTGATGTGCAGCATTCTAAGCAGGGCTTGACTCCGGTGTGACCTCTTGGCCCTCGTTCTCCGTCTGGACCTCATTTTGTCCAGTGTCGAGTTCAGGAAAAGAAGTGTTTCCACTCTGGGCTGTCCCATTGGTGACTCAGCCAAGGGTCTGCCCCACCTGAAATTCCCCATCTGCCTGTTAGTCTGAGATGCCAGTTTATAACACTGGCACTTGGGCTGCTGGGTCAACACTGCCCTGGGTCATTGGTGCCCCCTCTGTCCCTGGTCCTTCATCCTCACGTGCAGAATGTGGTCCTGTGAGTTCTTACAGAATTCGATGCCAGTCTGTGGAAGGGCAGGCTTCTGAAATGCTCCCCCCTCTGTGGCCTTTCCCAGCAGTGCACAGGGGCTGTGGTCAGCCCGGCCTGTGTCCACCGTGTGAGTGCCCCTGATGCTTTGCTGTGGTTGAGCCTCCTTACCCCTGTGTACTGTCATCTCACTTCAGTCCTGCAGAGCCCCGAGTCAGGGAGCCGCGCTGAGTGTGAGAGGAAGTACACACACGTGTGTGGGTCTCCTATTTCCGTGACTCACCCCGCAGCCAGCAGAGATCTGTCCTTCCTCCCTCACTTTGTACTTCCTGCAGACAGTAAGAACAAGGCGACCTGATTCCTGCTTCGTGGGCAGATGGGAGCAGGAACGGGGGTGCTTCCAGCCTTTAAGGTGGTGTGAAAGCACTGTGCTGTAGAGACTAGCACATGCAGGGGGCCTTCCTGGAGGAGGAGGCCCTGCTGCTGAGCCCTGAGGGCTAAGTGGGCTAGCTCTGGGCAGGGGCTGGAGTGCTGCAGTGATCACGGGCCTGCCCAGGGACAAGGGAAGCAGAAGTGGCTTGGCCTGGCAGTGACCCCCACCCCCTTCTGGCTTCAGTAGCTCCTCCCGCTGTGATTCTTCTTGCTGTTGTCCAGGTTTTAGTGGCAGGGAAGAGTGCACAGGGCCTGCATGGAGAGGAGGGTTACACCCTACACAAGTCCCTAGCCATAGAGTGCCACTCTAGCCTCCCCCGAGGCTCTTGTTCCTCAGCCCACAGCTCTCCTGGGCCCCCGCTTTCCACCTCCCGGAATGGCAGGGGGAGACAGCAGCCCCGGGAGGGACCTTTGTTTTTCATCTCTGTGCTGCCACAAAGCAATGCTTTGCAGGTTGGCGAAGAGGAGGAAGGGCCTGGCTTGAGTTTTATGCCAGTGAAGGTATATGAGGATTGTACCTGCAGAAGTAAAGCAGGGCCTGAGAGAGTCCTGGGACTTAACCAGGACGGAGTCCAGACCAGGCTCCACCCAGGATGGCCACCGGCCTGGCGCTGCAGTCCCTCTCTCCTGCTGGGAAAGGCCAGTCACTTACTCCTGCAGGTGCTTTCCCCACTAATCCTCCAAAGAACACCTGGCCATTCACAAAACACCTGGCCCACGAGTCTGAGCCATCTGCAGTGGCCACGGTGTGGGCTTCAGCACTCGTATCCACTCCTGTTAGCTTGTCAGAACCGGAAACAAGCTTGGTACTAGCAGAAGGCGCTCCCAGGCCCCAGGACATATATTTCAGGCATAAAGTGCTGTGTTGCTCCCTCGGTCCCACATGGGGAGAAGCAGATCTCTTATCTGATGGGAGAAGGGGGTGGCAAGGTCATCAGTGTCATTTCCTTTCCCAGATAACGTCCAGGTCAGGCTGGGTGAGCTGGTGCATCCATCTAGCGCTGACACTGCGTGTACCCCATGGAAGCATCAGGAAGAGAGACCGCGTGATAGTGAACAGAAGGGCTTTCCTCTGGAAGAGGTGCTCAGGGCACCCTCAGCTCCGGGCCGGGGCTGGGTGGTGGTGTGTTCAGGGCCCACCCACCACGTCAGCCGCCCTAGCCAAGCCTGTCGTAAAAAAGACCCATGGGGCATCGTGAATGTTCTCAGGAGTCTGTCCAGCTCCTGTTAGTAACTCCCGAGTCAGCAGTGTGATTTTACTCTTTCAATCTTCTGATTTCAAGGACACCTTGCAGGACATTCAGAGCCTGAGGCCGTTAGGATCAAATCCTTTCCAGAGGACAAGTATTCAAACACGCCTTTCAAACCCTTCAAAGGCCGCCGCGCTTGGTCATTAAAATACGGAATGGAAGCGTTCCTTGGTGGCTCCTAGGAGACGTCCCTATTTGTAACATGGAGCGTTTTCTGTCCTGTCCCTGTCGTCGTTTTCACTGAATGTATTCTGTACTGCACCACCTCTTCTTTTGCTGCTGCCTTGGTAGGAATAAGAAGAGTCCTGTGTGTGTGTGAGAGAGAGAGAATAGTCCAGTGAGAGAGAGATTCTGTGTGTGTGTGTGTGTGTGTGTGTGTGTGTGTGTGTG